ATAACTTCAAACCCCATTTCCAAAAATACACAGAATCAAATCTACATCTTTGTTTCGCCTTGCAAAACATGAAGAGCCAATTCCACCTTTTCAGTGAGGTGTTCGGGCTCGGCTATTACGCGCAACAGATCCCTATACTCCATCTGCAGCAGCATTCCCGTTAGCTTGGAGGCTTCTGTCGGATATCTCGTCGCCAGTTTTTCATATATGATTTCACCCAATTCTTGCTTTTCCTTGCTTATTGTTTTTGGTCCTGGGAGCACTTCTTCAGGTCTTTTTATCTCTTCTTCCTGAAAAAAGTTCAAGTGGAAACTTTTATGGATTGTATGTGAAAGTATACAAAGAGAAGCTGGAATCACTTCCACATCTATTCCCATTCTCACTGTAAGGCATAATGTGTAAGTCGACTGGAAAATTAAAATTACTTAGTCAGATCTGTGATTTACAAGTGAACCTTTTGAGCACCAACCACCAAATGTTGTTTACAAAACGTTAAATCAAAATTAAATTAAAATTGCCGCGACAAATCTCCTTCACTTCACTACTACTTTGCATTTTCTTTCTTTTAAGAGAAAATGTTACATAACCATATCAAATTGCTTTTGTAATTTTCAGAAAATTGTCTACAAGTTCTGATGTCCATTTCCTGGCATTCCTGAATTCAAAGTCTGCCATTCAGGATGAGTAGTTCCAAATCAATAAATTTGTTTAATGCATAATTATTTTTTGCTTGTTTCTTTACTTTGCTAATGGGTAAATGGCACATGTACTACTATAAAAAATGAATAATAAAATAGACATTTATCATAAAGCTATAACTAAATAAGTTCCTGCAAACCAATATCACTGATGTAACTAAAGGTATTACTTTCATCATATATATGACTAAGGAATTGGAAAATCTACTTGTTTGCAAATATTCTTTTAACTCAAGATAATACATGTTCAAAGTGCCTAAGAAGATATTTTGAAACCATTAGAAAATACAGACCCATATTAAACGTGTAAAGCTAGAGAAATCTAATAATACCCCTCTTGAGTATTCCTGAGAAAATAATTCAGAATTGAATTCATTGTTTCAAAAATAAAAACTTTTATAAAAGAACCAATCTCACACTGCAAAGCAATTCCTTGATCCACATCTCGTCTGCTATATCTAAAACAGAATAGCAATCATTAACTTTAAGTAATCGTACTGATTTTGAACCCTGGGTACAGTGGACAGTACATGTATCTAGCGCAAAGGTTTAAACAAATACATATGCATATGGGACAACAAGACTTTTCATCTATATGAGAGATAGAATGAACAAATAAGAAATAAAAATATTTATGTAAAAGACATGCCAAACTACTGCTCACTGACAAAAATGAAAACAAATAAATCACACTGCATATCAAATAGTTAATGCTAATCTTGTATGCAATACATATTCATTCAGGAAAATAAAAGACCACATCTATCAGAGAGATAGAATGAATGAAAAAGAACAAATGCTTCTGTAAAGGATTTTGGCCGAACTAATGATCAATGACAGTACTATGGGAGTCAGCCAGTTCCAGGAGAGTCGCACTCTGTGTATCTGTATCCTGAGCTACAGCCTTCAAAGTTTATTAAAAAATTCTCATTTTTCATAAATACTACCAAAATATTACCAAATATAGCTATAGCCTACTCCCTATCTAGTTACAAGATCATACTCTAGTAAAAAGGGCAGATGTTCCCTAAACACCTAATATATAAATACCTATAATGACAATAGGCTACAGTAATAGGCTAACTTCAAGCCATCTAATTGAATATCAAAACTATTACATCTTTTACATGTGTTCTTCCTTCTATGCCTTTTCTCTTAATGGAAAGCTAAAAGCATTATTCACTTCTGCTTATGTCACTCATATTAGCAATCAGCAATTTGTCGCAAATCTTTCTCAGTTGACATAAGCATGACTGAACAAGAAGCCATATAAGCTGTTAATCAAAGCATCAGATTGCTAAGCGTACCATCTGACAATAAATGGGCTGCAACTGACAACATAGCACCTGAAAACAGGAAAAAATACTGTGCCTTAAAGAAAGAAAGAAAGAAATATAATAATAATAATAATAATAACAATCATAATAATCATAATAGTAATTAGGCTTATTATCCATAATTAGTTATCCTAACTATGAAGGACAAAAGAATGTGACCTAATGAATGAAATTCCTTACATCAATAGCTGTTTGTAAATGCTTTTTTTTAAAGCATGCTAACTTACTGGCTATGATATTTAGTTTTAAAATATCAATTATTGATTATAAATACATGCAGCCAACAAAGTTAATATCTACATAATCTGGCATAAGATAGTAAAAACGTGCAATATAATTTACTTACATTATCATTACTTTTAGCAGCACAGTTTTTACAATCAAATCCCTATGAAATTTTACCAATTTGTCCTGATTCTAAACATTACAGTCCTATTTAAGCAACAATTTTAAAAAAGATACGGAGAGGAAATGTTTTACTAACCGTAATGTACTTAAGATATTCTTTTTTGGCCTTTATCACTGCTTCCTTCAGTGCCTCCTGGTTCTTCAATAACTGTGTAAGTGATGAAACTGGTAGTTCAAGTAGCATGCCAGTTACCTGTGAATACAGCCCACAATAAATAGGTCATATATATGTACGTATAAACACACATAAATGTATCCTGTGTCCCCTTGGATTGCATCATCCATCATCCAGGCACAATATTCTCCTTTTCAGTTCTGTTTTTCTGCCCCCTCCCTGCCCCTAACACCTGACAAACCACAGGCTGCCAGGCATCTTTTCACTGCTGGGAATCATCCTCATGGGCGATTACCTCCACACTTTTTTCTCCTCTTACTATATGCCCAAAACATCTCAACTTACTCTGCTCCCATCTATCACTCAACTGCCATCAGTCTCCCTTCTTGTTCTTCACAAGCTAAAACCTCTGCAGTTGTTGCATTTGTACCCATCACCTATTCTTTTTGTATAGGTACAGTATCTCCATACTTTCACTCAAAACATCTATTTATCACTCTAATCAGCCATATCAGTGCCTCTCTTTAGCCACTTAGGACCATATCAGTATTGGTTATGCCATTCACTATGGTAAACAAGGAGGCTTTGATAGGTAACTCAACCCCCAGCATCTGGCAACACAGAAACCTCCTCATACCCTGAGATAGAAGTGAATGTGGATGGGTAATGAATTACTGAGCAGAATGAGTTTCTGCCACCTAGGCAGACACTCATTCTGATGGGTTAAAACCATCAAATCTAACAAACCTTCAAGATTCTCCGTCCATTTTCTTGAACACTAGACCCTTTATCTTCCAAAACACTTATTTTCCTCAAAATTCTCGGCATGCATCTAAACCACCCTGTATCTAATCTTTTCTTTGCCTATTGTCTTTCATTCCTTTTCTCCCTTTTATATCTTGTCTGTCTTATTATTATCATCACTTAACCAGCACTTATCTGCCAATCTCCCACAACCACTTAAATTCTTTGCTCCTATCATTCACTACCTTTTCATCTACCTTTCCCTACCCTTCTTACATCACACAATTTTTCTATAATCCTTATACATTTCTGCATTTGCTATGTTTATGTTTGCTTTTGAACTGTAGTCATTTGACAAAAGATCTGACAGGTCACAAAAAGAAGAGCAAAATATATAAAAGGAAAATAATGTATTACAACTATCCTTATCTTATTTTAGTATCAGAGGGAATTTTACTCTTTTAGCCTCAGAGCAGAAGCTCTGCTGGGTAATATCATATCCATTCATAAAATGGTATTTTCAGGTATTTTGTGAAGGCTACAAAAGATCTATATAATATGGAAAACATTAAAAAGGACTAGTCCTCTTAGTCTGTGGTTGAATATAAGACAAACATTCTATATTTTCCATTTTGAATAGATGAAATACACATAATTAGTTTCCTCTTTCAAGTAGGGTTCTGTAGTTGCCTTTTTACTTATCTTACTAATACACCTAGGTAAAAAAAAAATATTCTAAATGCAATAAGAGATCATATTACACACATCAGTTACACTATCATTGTCTAAAACATATAACCCTTAAAGAACACAACTTTTGATCTGACGAGGGTACGACACAACATCAACTCCCATCTGCATTAATTCAATTCACACATAAAAGATATTGCTTTCTTGGAATCTACAGATCAAAATCTACATTATGCAATTTGAAAATTATGTTTTACTATAATTTTTCTGTATCTTGAGGGAATATTGGTACAGTCTGCACTGCATCCTCAATCCTTGTGCCAAAATAATGTGAAGAGTTACTGACTATATATAAAGCCATTAGTTGCTTCTATCTGTGACTTTAGATACCTGACAGAATAAAAAAATAAAAAAAATCTAAACAGGCACTTTGGAAATTAGCAACATTATATTGAACGTCTGTCAATTTGTCTTTGGTTAGAATTTTCCTGTAGAAAAGCTGATTCACATATGGATTGGATTGGGGTAGAAATTAAATGGTTCCCTCAGTCTACGTACCTGTGCACACAACTCCTGTTCTATCTCTGAAACCTCTTGAAATAACATTACACCAAGAGTTTCTCGAACTTCAGTATCGGGTCTGAAAAATATTTTTAAAATTATTCATAAGCGGAGAGGAGAGTGTGAGAAAATGATGTAAATCTACAACTCTTCAAAGACCTTGTTTTATACTAATTGTCAAAACCTGTTTTATCTCCATGATTAAATACAACTAGTCTACATCAAATGGAGATCTTGACAATTGTTAAAAAATTGTTTTTTCCTTCATGAGCAAATGAAGGTCTTGACAAACAAAACAGTAGAAAAAATGACTTACACATATAATGAAGTAAGAGCCTTCTCCACTTTTTTCTCTAATAATGAATCGGACGTCAGCAATTCTATGATCTCACTGTTTGACCTTTCCGCCACCAACATGTCTGTTATCTGCAAGAAGAATCCAGTCTT